TTTTATTTACTTTTATGTTTTATTTTTTAAAATATATTTTATTGATTTCAGAGAGGAAGGGAGAGGGAGGGAGAGATAGAAACACCAATGATGAGAGAGAACCATTGATCAGTTGCCTCCTGCACACCCCACACTGGGGATCGAGCCCTCAACCTGAGGCATGTGCCCTGACCAGGAATCGAACCGTGATCTCCTGGTTCACAGGTGGATGCTCAACCACTGAGCACACTGGCCAGGCCAGACCCGTTTTTATTTCATTGGTTTAAACTGCATTCTGGCCCTAGCCGGTTTGGCTCAGTGTACAGAGCGTCAGTCTGTGGACTCAAGGGTCCCGGGTTCAATTCCAGTCAAGGGCACATGCCCTGGTTGCGAGCTTGGTTCCCAGTAGGCGGCGTGCAGGAGGCAGCCAATCAATGATTCCCTCTCATCATTGATGTTTCTATCTCTCTCTTCCTCTCCTTTCCTTTCTGAAATCAATAAAAAATATATATTAAAAAAACACACACACAAAAAAACTGCATTCTGCTAGCCTTGACTGTCTTCCTGCTACAGGTCTCATACTTTTATTATTTTAGCCCCTTTTCTCTTTGGTAGTGAAGAAAGGCTTACCAGAAAGTTTTTTCTTAAAGACAGGAAAAAAGTCACCCCTATCCTATTTCAATGAGACTTATGTGACATGTTATTAATAGTCCCTCTCCACTATACAGCATGGTTCTTAAGAATTGCCCCTGTGATAAAAGGCTCCCGGGAGATACTGGTATTTTCCAAGCCGGGGTCAGGAACTCAATGAAAAAGGTTTAAAATTAAATGTCTGTTCATTAACCTACGAAGTCCATATTGACAAGATGATTCTCTTAGTGACAGTTGGAAGACATGGGGTCCGGGATGCCTGGTGTGTAAAATGTGAAGGGGCAAATGTACTTCTGCTCTTTTGTACCTTTATGCGTATTATTTTGGTAAAGTGGGGTTTTAGGTTAAGCAGTTTTTACCATGAAGCAAAAACAGAAAAGTTTTTATTTAAATAAGATATCCTAGGAATCCTTGCCTAAGGCCCAGGACCTAATCAACTCTCACTCAGGAATAATGGCCGCTGGCTACACACGCCCTCCCGGACCTGAGCTGTGCCCGGAAGCAAGAGCTGTGTTTCCTGCTTTCCACGTGGCTGCATGCAGAGTGCGAGAGCCACCTCTCACACTCACAGGACGAAGCCCCTTTAGAGTGCCAGGCGGCGCTGGGGACGTGCACATTGCTTTGTCCGTGTGGCACTAGGTTTGTGGACGTTCTCTCCAGGGTCGAGCTGTCCAGCTGGCGTGCAGCACGCCCGAGGGGCCCTGTGCCTCTGGGTTACACGTGCGCCGGGCACTGACTGCCCTCAGCCTTCCGACAGGCGGCGGGGCCTGGGCAGCCTCCTCTGTTTACTCCAGGGCGACGGGGTGGGGTGGGGAGTGGGGGGGTTTCAACAGCATCCTTTTCCCTGCAGGGCACCAGGCACGACTGCTTTGTTTGTGATATGACCACTCTTTCAATCTCCTGTCTTTGCTTCCCATCCTCTGTCCCTCTACACGCCAGCCTCACCGTTTTCTGAACAGATTCCCAGTCCATCTGCCGTGGGCAGGTTTCGCTGTCCAGGTCGCCTAAGGGCCTGTCAGGGGCCAGGGCTGGCAGCTCGGACTCCCGTGAAGGCAAAACTGGCAGGCCGCTGAGGAGACTCAGCATTCAGCCGGGGGAAAGAATGGGTAAAGACAACACAGTCTATTACTCTTCTCAGTTTGGGCTTTATTTGGGAGGAGTTTCTGTGCCACAACAATGTTGAATCATACCAACGTCTAACTTTTATACAAACAACATTCCAATTCTATAACGGTCCACGCATAATCCATCAACCTAACAATTTTCTTTAATTGAATCTCAGATGCTGAGACGTGTATTTAAATATAGAAATTACTATATTTAATCAGTGATTGTAATCTGGAGGTCTGAACCCACAGGTACTGGAAAAGTGAGATTCTAGGTGCTATTTTCTTTCCAAATTCACAGGAAAAAAAAAAGGTATGGATTTTTTTATTTTATTTTAACAAGGTTGGGAGCAAAACTAAACCACTTAAAGGATATTGTTTATCCTCATTCAGTTAGCATGGACCAAGTAAAATGTCACCCATCTCATTAAACACTAAAAAAAAAGTATATTTTTTTTGGTTGAAATTGAAATCTCAGTAATATGCTTCTGATTATTACAAGTAGAAAACCATTAGTTATAACTTAACTCATTCAGTTTAATGTCCAAATATTGAAGAGCATGGGGTCTCCAGTGAGCAAGAAATAACAAAAGGAATACTTGGTGGTAATAAATGTAGAACAAAGCAGTTAAGTGAAATTTGCTTGTGACTTACTACTAGGTATGTCGTACTATTAAGTAAGAAAAATTGTCTTTTTGATGTCATAAAATTACACTTAGCGGATTTCCGCAAGGTCAAGGTTGTGGGCCTTACCTGGCTCCTGAGAAAGTGCCGGATGACGCCCTTGAAAACGTTTGGGTGGCCTTTCTTGGGCTCTGAGCACTTCATCTCCCTTTGTTTACAAGTGAGCCGAGACCCCGAAGCATCCTTCAGGCTGCTGGAGACGGAGACGTCCTGGGTGGGGCAGTAGAGATGGGTTTTTAAACAGGAAGAGACCAGCATCACTGGTTACTGTTGGCAGAGAGGGATCTAAAGAAGAGATTAAAACAATGAACAAGTATTGAAATGGTGTTTGCCGGGTACCAGGCCCTTCTAAGCTCGTTAGAGGCACTAACTCCTTTAATTTAATCCCCACCACAACCCTATTGGGTACCACTATCATCTCCTTTAACCGACGAGGAGAGAAGCTCAGGGCACGTAAGTGACTTTTGTGTTCACTGGACAGAGGGTGATAGGATGCAGGCCCAGGCGGCCTCTGTGGCTGGTGATAGCGCTGACCTGTGCACCCACCGCGCTGGCTTTCTGGTGCCGGCTTTACCCAGGGACAACCCACCACTCTCAGCAAGCACTGGGGTGGGCTTGGCAGGCACACCAAGGGCCCAGGCACATCAGTACACAGACTTCCGCTTTTTAAAAATAAGATTATCCATCAATTTCTAGGATGTTAATATTTCCCATTTAGTTTTATCTTAAACTTTCCTTTAAAAAAAGCCAACCTTGTCTCATTCGGTTGGCACCAAACCCAATTTGCTGCAATACCACGGTCTGGACACACAGAGCAAATGACAGCGGCAGGGGCACCTTCGTCATCAGCTGAAAACGAGACCCCTTCCCGCGCGCGTGTACACACACACACACACACACACACACACACACACACACACCTGGGGTGGGGGGGGATGAGGAGCAGCGGCTTTTGCACAAAGGGCAGGTCCGGCTCGGCAGGTGAATGAGACAATTGGCCCAATGAAGCCGGGTGGTGCCGCTGCGCTCCAGGTCGGGGGCGGGGGCCGGGGCACGGGGTGGGGGCCGGGGCCGGGGGGTGGAGAGGGGCTCGCGGGAGGGACACGCAGTCACTTGCGGGAGGACCACCCTCACCAGGGCCGCCGTCAGAAGGGAGGCAAGTCCTCCGATCAGGGCCACACGCAGAGTCGCATCGCGTCCCCACCGCGTCTCCTTCCGCGCGGGAGGGCGGTGTCAATGGCCTGAATGGGAAAACACCGTCTCCCCGCGTGTATTTTGGGGGGAATCACCCCATGGAAGTCGCCCCCCCAGACACTCGTCTCCCTCAGGGACAGCATCCATGACTGGCTCCCCGGTGTACAGTATCCCAGGCTCGCGACGCCCCTCGGCCCCCGGCGGCGCGGCGAGTTCTGGGGGCCCCTGGAGCGGGGGCGTCGGAAACATCAGGGGCGCGGGGGGGGGAATGAGGGTCCCGACTGCGAGGGCGGTATCCGATGGAAGAAGCCTTAAATCCTTATCGGGCTACAATGTAGAGGACACTGTACGAAATGGGAATGTTTGTATGGGTGCACGCCCACAGGTATATAGGGACAGGATGGTGTGGCTGGGAGAAGCCCAAGAAGGCGTTACTTTAACCAGAAACGCTCAAACAAGCAGGCTCCCAACCACTGGGGGGCTGGGAAGTCACAGAGCATTTGGAGATTTATACGAAGTCGCATCTTCTGGGGAAACCGCTTTCTTCATCTGTCTAGAATAGTTCTAGAAGCAATCACATGAAACAAAAAAGAAAAAAGC